TCATGATTATTATCAATTATTATCATCATTATCATATTGTTAGTATTATATTAGTAGTACTTTAAATAGTAGTATATTATATTTATTACTACTGTTATTATCACCATTGTTATTGTTGTTTGTATCACTGTCATTAGCACTACTATTATTTTTATTATCATTATTATTCATATTATTATAACCATCATCATCATTATTATTTTCATTATCATTACTACTATTATCATTACTGTTATTATCTTAACGATATTTATTAATTTAATTATCATCAACATGATAATAATAATCATAGTAATAACAATGAAAATAATAATGATAGAAATGATAATGGTAACAATAATAATAATAAAGATAATAATAATAAATATTATTATTATCATCATTATTATCAAATATAATTGATGAATAATGATAATTAATCTCCTTTCTCAATGTTGTCATATTTTCATATAAATTTATCATGATAATACTAATCAGTAAATAGTTAAAAAAAGATAATACTAATAGTAACTAATTTATGTTGATAATAATTTACATAATATTCATGAAAATAATCCTTTGTGATAAGAAAAAAAGTATTGATAATAATAACAACGACAATAATAATAATAATAATATAATGTTAAAAATAATAGTAAAAATAAAAATGACGATAATAGAAACAATAATAATTAGAATAATTAATAAATATATAGATAAGTAATATAAAATATATTATAAAAGTGATGATAACGATGTCAACATAATATATACATACACACATCACATATATATAACATACAATGTGTATGTGTGTGTGTTTGTGTAGTCATATACACACACAGCACTTGAACCCACCTGTCCGGAATATTTTATTTTTTCTTGTTCTGAATGTATATGTACGTATTCCTTAGATAAATAAATTCCAAACACACATCTCTAAAAAGAAATAATTGATATATGAATTGATTTTCGAAGAAACTGATTTTCCTGAAAAATCTATACGCACTTTCTACCTATCGAGAAGAGGAGAACAGAGAGAGAGGAGAGAAGATGTAGCGAGAGATGCAGCAGAGAGAGAGAAGAGAGAGATGAGATAGACCCGAAGAGAAGAGACCGATTTTGTATAGAGATGCAGAGAGACATTAGACACATATATCATTTAAAACATCACGTGCCTTGAGGAAAGAGAAGATTACCCGTCAACTTAATGGGCCCGTAAGCACGGATTAATAACAGCATGTCTCTTCTTATTCAAGTTAAACGCAATTTATCTTTCTTTTCATCCAAAGTGAATGCAAGACTACGTGAGGAACATCTCTCTATCACACACTTGTGCAATTTCAACTCTTTCTCTTTTTGCCTGCTCCTTCACTATGGGAAGAGTATCGATAAAAAAAAAAGCAATAAACTAAATAAATAATGAGAGAAGCAGAGAGTAGAAGTAGAGATGAGCTACGAGATGAGTTATCTAC